AATGAATATTTTTTTGTCGGAAAAAATAATAATTTCTGAAAATTTTGTACCACAATCTACACATGTTCCTCCTCCTACCCGTAATCAGGCCGCATTACAGCTACTACGAGACGAGTATAGAAAGAAAACTGCCAACGCTGCGGCATTGGCCCGGTCTATGGCGTTCGATAAGATACAACGAAACACCCCGAGAGTAATAATAGTATTATCATCATCTTCATCATCAACTTTTATTCAGCACATGAGAAAAGGGAAAAAGCAACCCGCCCAGCTCAAGTCGGTGAAAAAGATGATTCTTGCTATGCTGATCCTATTGTAGGACCACTCGTAAGAAGAGACCGCTATCACCAGCAACAAGAATGCTTTTATTATCAACATCATCTTGGCGTAAACAATGTCGAGATGTATGAGTATTGTATTATCATTTTATGGAGGTCATACCACTCCCTCAGGAACTCGCGGCGGCTCCACCAAAAACGGATCTAGATGAGCCTATCGGGAAGCTCTTCAAATCTATGGCGAACTCGTTGTTGAACAGCATCACAAAAAGAGGCTTTGTGGAGTAACTTTGCGATTCCGGAAAAATTTTATACATAATTTATTTCATACGTCTTGGCAGACACACTACGTAGTGTGAGAAAAATGCATGTGTTGGCCACAATATGAAAATTCTGAGGAAATTCGTATTAGTTTTTATACAGTTTCACTCCAAGTCTTGCGCAAATTTCGGTGTGGAAAATGGTCATCAACTACATGTGTTGGTGATGACAATATGAAAATTTTGAGGAAATTTTGGGAGAAATTTTTATTGGTTTTTATACACTTCTAGCCCAAGTCGTATGTGAACTTCTGAGCTCAGCTGAGGCAAACAAACATAAACTCCAACATTGGAGTTTCACCACCCTAGTGATATGAAAAACACTAGTGGAAAATATATTTCACGACAACTGCATATCACCGCGAATATCGCGTCTTTTTCACCGAGTTTTACGCCACTTCACGTAAAACGGGTAGTCGTAAAACTCCATCATTATCGTTCAGATTCATGCGGCCGTACTTTCGGACCAATCTGGGCAATAACGATTCTGGAAATTCCTCCAAACCGCTACGTAGAAGTTCCCTTCGGAATTTCGTCGGAAATCGTCCTCAGGCGAAAACAACTGTGGTAGCAGGTCCGTGTTTCGTTATCACGAACGATGTTGTTTTGTACAGATATTAGATCGTTTATATTCACTTTTCGACTTCAGCGACTACGGTTCGATAATCAGCAGTTTTGATTTCGTATCAATTGTTGAACTC